CATGTCGCATATGTACTGATTAGTTTGATCAACGACATCTAAAGTCGGTGAGAGGATCGCTCGGCCTTCTAGTTGTGACTCATCAAGCATGTCATATCTCGAGCTTGGGAAGGTGCTTTCCACTATAGTTGCTATGGGATCGTGTCCACACTTCAACAAAAACTGTGCCAGAATATCGATCTCAAATGAACTGCCGTTTACAACCCCTGCAATCCCATATCCGATGTCTGCAATCCATTTTGAAAACCAATCAACCGTTTGTCTATCTTACTCTGAAACTAAGGTCCGTAGTTTCAAGTTATTTGTGAACCTTAATACTTTGCAATTTGTCCACAAGTATGAAGAATTAATAGTTGCTCCGACAACTACTGGTCTTGCTGTTTTTGGAATAACAGGTAGGATATGTCTAAATTGCCACCCAGAACTATTATCTTTCCACCAAATGTCTATTCAGCACTACCCGGTATGACGAACCTCAATATATCACTCATGATTTTATCCAAAGCCTCAAAACAGTGTTTGTGTGTCATCAGTGCTTCATCACATATTATCAATTTACTCATTATTATAAGCTCAGCAAGATCAATGCATTGCGATATATTGCACATGAAATCTTCGTTCAAAGGGAGTGGTATAGAAAATCTGGAATGCGATGTCCTGCCCTCCCAGCAAGAGCAAAGAAGCTATTTCACTGGAAGCAACATTCAAAACAATATCACCGCAACTCATTTTCTATATATATATATATATATATATATATATATATATATATATATATATATATATATATATATATATATATATATATATATATATATATATATATATATATATATATATATGGAAAAACGCTCATATGTGGTCATGTCATTAGGTGTGGTCGTGTGGTCGTATCTGTGTCGTTGAATCAGTTTAATCTAAAGGTTGTGGAAATTATGAGGATTTTCGCGCGTTTTAGTAAGTGGGGGTGTTATGGTAATTACAGTGACCATTTATAGCGGGCGGGTTCCAAAATACACCAACAGTGTTGACAACATACACCAATAGTGTAATAAAACACACCACAGTGAAACACACCAATGGTGTATTCCCGTGTTATGGTAATTACAGTGGCCATTTATAGCGGTCGAGTTCCAGAATACACCAACAGTATTGACAATATGCACCAATAGTATAATAAAACACACAACAATGTGATTTTCCTTATTCCGGTGTTTTATGACAAGTTTACCCTTACAGTTCGCTGGGTAGGAGAATGTGCGCGAAAATACTGAAAAAATCTTGATTAATATGATTCATTAGATCTATCTAATCTAATGGTCTATAATTGACCATATGACTACACCTAACAACCTGGCCACATGTGATCACTCCCCTATATATATATATATATATATATATATATATATATATATATATATATATATATATATATATATATATATATATATGATCATATGAGAACATGTGCTTAGGTGAGAACGTGAGAACACATCATGTGCATCCATCTAATTTTTTTTAATGGTCTAGATTACAATATTAGAATAGAATTTTAACCCAGAATTATAGTACGAAAGAGAAAGTAGAAAACGCTATATTTTATTAGGAAGAGAGATTTTTAGGAATTGGACGGGAAGTTAAAGTTCAGGATTTTGTTTTTATACATAGTATAGATTATAATACGAATTGTATTATTACACAATTTAACAATATTAGAATAGAATTTTAACCTAGAATTATAGTACGAATGAGAAAGTAGAAAACAATATATTTTATTAGGAAGAGAGATTTTTTAGGAATTGGGCAGGAAGTTAAAGTTCAGGATTTTGTTTTTATATATAGTATAGATTATAATACGAATTGTATTACACAATTTTACAATATTAGAATAGAATTTTAACCCAGAATTATAGTATGAATGAGAAAGTAGAAAACAATATATTTTATTAGGAAGAGAGATTTTTTAGGAATTGGGCGGGAAGTTAAAGTTCAGGATTTTGTTTTTATATATAGTATAGATAGTATAGATTATAATACGAATTGTATTACACAATTTTACAATATTAGAATAGAATTTTAACCCAGAATTATAGTACAAATGAGAAAGTAGAAAACAATATATTTATTAGGAAGAGAGATTTTTTAGGAATTGGGCGGAAAGTTAAAGTTCAGGATTTTGTTTTTATATATACTATAGATAGTATAGATTATAATACGAATTGTATTACACAATTTTACAATATTAGAATAGAATTTTAACCCAGAATTATAGTACAAATGAGAAAGTAGAAAACAATATATTTATTAGGAAGAGAGATTTTTTAGGAATTGGGCGGGAAGTTAAAGTTCAGGATTTTGTTTTTATATATAGTATAGATTATAATACGAATTGTATTACACAATTTTACAATATTAGAATAGAATTTTAACCCAGAATTATAGTACGAATGAGAAAGTAGAAAACAATATATTTTATTAGGAAGAGAGATTTTTTAGGAATTGGGCGGGAAATTAAAGTTCAGGATTTTGTTTTTATATATAGTATAGATAGTATAGATTATAATACAAATTGTATTGCACAATTTTATAATATTAGAATAGAATTTTAACCCAGAATTATAGTACAAATGAGAAAGTAGAAAACAATATATTTTATTAGGAAGAGAGATTTTTTAGAAATTGGGCAGGAAGTTAATGTTCAGGATTTTGTTTTTATATATAGTATAGATTATAATACGAATTGAATTACACAATTTAATAATATTAGAATAGAATTTTAACCTAGAATTATAGTACAAATGAGAAAGTAGGAAACAATATATTTTATTAGGAAGAAAAATTTTTAGGAATTGGGCGGGAAGTTAAAATTCAGGATTTTGTTTTTATATATAGTATAGATTATAATACGAATTGTATTACACAATTTTACAATATTAGAATAGAATTTTAACCCATAATTAAAGTAAGAATGAGAAAGTCTATTACACAATTTTACAATATTAGAATAGAATTTTAATCCAGAATTAAAGTAAGAATGAGAAAGTAGAAAACAATATATTTTATTGGGAAGAGAGATTTTTTAGGAATTGGGCGGGAAGTTAAAATTCTAGGATTTTTTTTATTATATATAGTATAGATGTACAAAGGGAATTGTATTACACTATTTTAAAATTTTAGAATAGAATTTTTATCCAGAATTATTGTACGAATGGGAAAGTAGAAATCAATATATTTTTTTGGGAAGAGAGATTTTTTAGGCATTGGGCGGGAAGTTAAAATTCCAGGATTTTGTTATTATATATAGTATTGATTATTATGAATTGGCATTATTAATTACTGTTATTAAGTTTAGGCGCTAATATCATTTTATCATCTTTCATAATGATTATCATTTCATGGTAATCTGCTATATTTGGTACATTGGTATGATTACCTTCTTCATTTTACATAACTATTAATGTTGGTAATTAAGTCCTACCAATATAGTTTTAAGTACCCTTGGACGTTGAATCGAGTTTATTGACACCGACAGTGAAGATGGGGAGAATTCTGGAGTTTTTTCTTCTCTTGTGGTTCGTTATCGTTGTTAGCGCAATGGGGAGATGCGGTTTGAAATTGCATCATTAAGGTTAACCACTATTTATCTTTTGTTGTTATTATTGATAATTAGTGCTAAAATTACTATTAACCGCTAATTTGGGCTAGTCAAATAATTTATCTTTAGAAAAATGGAAACATTAAAAGGTGCATTACCATACTTTGATTTCTCGTTATTATTAATTAATGTTAATAGTGATTATAATGTTACTTAGAGCATCCACACTAGTGGATAATGTGGGGAAAATGCAGCATTAATTCACTCCATTCAAGTTTATAGCTAATGGGGGGGGGGGGGGGGGGGGGGGGGGGGGATTAATTAGGGAAGAATTCATCTGCAAAATAGGAAATAATGACAGAAAAAGAGGAAGAAAAAAAAAAAAAAACACGGGCGCGTCAGGCGCGCCTGACAGTTCTTATATATATATATATATATATATATATATATATATATATATATATATATATATATATATATATTTTGCTTTTGTTTTTTTATTTTGGTTTTTTTTTCTCCCCTTCCCACATTTTCTCTCCTAATCACTCTTACATTATCCCTCAATTCTCCCCAACTAATGTGGATGCTCTTATTACTATTAATAATTCATTAATAATGATATTAATATTGTATCTTGAACTGTTTTCAAATAAATTTATGTGATAATATTCCAGTACAAAAAATAATTTTCTTAACATTAATGTTTTCAGACTTCAAATTTTATTAAGTTTTTAAAATTTTATCCAAAAATATTTATAAACGTTAGTGTTTTAACTATTGTTTTTTCATATTTAGTCCTACTTAATGTGATAATGAATAAATATGAATAAACAAATATTTAGTGTAAATTCATATTCTCTAGTTGGTGATTGACAAAATTGAAAGTTTAAAACATTATTTGATAATGATCGATCTAAAACGGTGGGATCAAAATTGAAAATAAATCTTTTTTTTAACCAACCTCAAAGTACTTTATTCAATGGCTTGATAGCAAGATAGAATAAAAAAAAAAAAATTAAAAAAAAAAATTAAAAAAAAAAAAGAAAAAAAGATAGGAAGCAAGTGACTGCAACATACTGACAAGTGAAGTTTTACTTTATCTCTAGATCCACGCCAGCACGCGTGCTCGCCTTGTCTAGTTGTTTGTTTGAAGAAACCATAGACGGTATAATTCATTTTCTCGTGGGTCAGTCGATTTCTCACTTTCCTCTATCTCTCTTCGCCGTATAAATGAAACCATGGCCGTAATAAGCCGTTGGGCTTTCTCAGACTGAAGGTCCTCAAAATAAAAACTGTGATTCACACCTTCTATTTCTATCAGTTTCACTTCACCTTTCCAGCCACTTTTCTTCACGGCTTTAACATAACGGATCCCAATGTCTCTCAGGAAATCTTGTCCGGCCACCTACACAAACAGCTTTGAACTCCCTAACAACGTTAAGCTGGGAGCGTTTTCCGTAAACGGGTTAACCATTGGATTATCGATCCCGCCCGGCGCCGTTGGATAGGCAAACCTCCAAACAAAATTTGCGAACCTTTGGAACCAGTCAATCGAATATGTTTCATTTGATCCCCAGAAATAAGGATGGGTTTGGATTCCACCCAAGATTTTTATGGAGCCTCCTTTTGGACGCTCTAACCCGGCTCTCATAAGCGTGTTGTGAACTATGTTGGCGCCGGCGCTGTCACCGCCGATAAAGATCCGATCGAAATCTCCGTATTGGAGCAGCCAGGGTTCGCCGCAAGAGGACCGGGTTTTATGGGCTGTGACCCATTGAAGCGCAGTCCAGGCATCTTCGTAAGCGGTGGGGAGATGGTGCTCGGGGACCAGCCTATAGTCAACGGAGATAGCTATCGCGCCGGCCCTAGAAGCCATGATGTTGAGGAATGCTTGTTGAGTGTCGGCGAAGGCGGAACCCATAAAGAACCCGCCGCCATGAAACCATATAAATATGGGCAGTTTCTGATTGGCGGCTTTGAGTTTCGGGAGGTATATCCTTGCCAGTAACTCCGTGGAAATGTTGATGTCTTTGGAGGATACGCCGGTGACGGGGTCTTCCAGCGACGGTGGAACCAGAGTTATGTTTAAAATGCGCTGCACTGTGTCGTTTTTGTAGACAAGGATGAAGGGGTAAAATCCATCGACCACCGGATTGTCAGTTTCTGCGGATGATAGGCGGAGAAGAATTGTGATGAATGCAAGTATTGAGGCAAAAGAATACATTCCGTGGGACAAACAAAATGTTTACCACTTAGGCACGTTAGTTATGCTCGTTCGCTCTATCAAGAGTATATATATATATATATATATATATATATATATATATATATATATATATATATATATATATATATATATATATAGGGATGCACTCTGGTGCGAATAAGTGCCCAGGAAGGAATATGCGAACGAATCAGCGCGCGACACGTGTCCAGATTTAATAGCTTAAAAAAAATGCGGTGGCATTTTTGTAAATAATTGAACATCGAAGTGCAAGTAAAATCACTTACAAGTGCACCTACTTTCACCTATAAGTGCATGTGATTTTGCCTTATTAGCATTCACTTCCCGCAAACATTCATGCACCTGGGTGTGTTTATAACTATAGGTGCAACTATTTATAACTACAGGTGCAACTACTAATAACTATAAGGGGGCGTTTGGTTCAAGTTATATAACATAACCAAGGGAATGTGACATTCCAAAGCTCACATTCTTATGTTTGGTTCACATTATCTCAGGGAATCTAACATTCCCCAGGAATGTCACATTCCCTCCACATAGGATTTTGAAGAGAATGTGATTCCCTTCAATTTCTAAGGTTATGTAAGATAACATTGGTTAAGTTAGTTTATCACACACACACACACACACACACACACACACACACACACACACACACACACACACATATATATATATATATATATATATATATATATATATATATATATATATATATATATATATATATATATATATATATATATTGATGGAATTAATTAAACCAGGGGTCCGACTTAACTAACCCGAATAAAAATACGAATAATAAATAAGTGGTACGAACGTTATGGCAAAGGCCGTGAGACCGTAGATTGTATTAAATGCCGTAGAATTGGCTATTACAATAGTATTTCAGGACAGAGTATGTAAGAACAGTAGATCGCGGATAGCACGTCCCTTGTTAGGACAAGGAGGGGGGCTTTTATACAAGCCAAACCCCCAACCGCCTCCCCCTAAAACGGGGGGTTAGTTGGATTTGGCGCTAACCGCGACCGCAGCGCGACCGGGCCGCGCTACGGGGGCCAGGCCGAGCTCATCATGGGCCCGGGCCGGGCCTATGTGGAGGTCGGCCCGGCCTCCTGGAGAGGCCGGCCTGGCCTCCAACGTGGCCCGTGCGGGGGCCACGTGGCGAGGCCTCGGCCGGGGCGGGTACGTGGCGCCGCCCCGGGACCTCTTCTTGCTTCGCGCCCTTGGGTCGGTTCGGGTCGATTCCCAATATATCCGTCATTAGTCCCCCACTCTCCGAGCTGCGAGTAATCGTCAGTGAAGGAGAGTAGACGCTCCGGCCGACCCCCCAGAATGCCGACCCCGAGATGTCCGCATCCTAGCCTTGAAAGTGCACTTCTTGTGATAATGATGAGAACTCCATCCGAAACATGACTCCTTCATCTGCTAGCACACATACGCACCGCCACGTCTCTGCCATGTCACCTATCCCACCTCAGAATCAGGGCATGCCAATAATTCAAGCCTCGGGGAATGAAACCGGGGTTGCCCAGGGAAGGATTCTTGTTATGAGTAAAGCCCGAACTGGGGACAGTGATGTGGTGGCCGAAACATTCCTCGTGCATTCTGTGCCCACTCACATGTTGTTCGACTCAGGAGCCACCAACTCGTTCATAGCAGCCGAGTTTGCAACGAGACTCGGATTAACAGAAAGCACTAGTGTACAACTGAGGGTCAAGGTGGCATCCGGAGAGGTGCTGAAATGTGACCGCATGTTCAAAAATGTTATGATCACCATAGGTGGGGTGGAAATCCCTAATGACTTAATCCAGTTTTGGCTAGACGGTATGCAAGTAATTTTGGGGATGGATTGGCTAGGGCAATTCAAAGCCCAAATCTTGTGTGGCGAACATAAAATAATTTTGAAAGGACCGAAGGGGAAACGGGTATCCTATCGCGGCTCAGTCAAAAACCCAGAAGTTAAATTGGTATCCATGATAAAGATGAAGAAATACTTATCCAAGGGAGGTGAGGTCTTCTTGTCCACCGTGGAAAACCTAGATGCCAAGGGATATGAACAAAAATCAATCCCCCTAGTGCGCGAATTCGCGGATGTCTTTCCCGAAGAAATCCCCGGTATGCCTCCACTCAAGGAAGTAGATTTCACGGTGGACTTGGTGCCAGGCACTGCCCCTATATCAAAATCCCCTTACAGACTGGCACCAAAAGAGATGCAGGAATTAAAAGCACAATTACAAGACTTGCTAGATAAAGGCTACATCCGCCCTAGTGCTTCACCGTGGGGAGTCCCGGTGCTATTCGTAAAGAAGAATGATGGGAGCATGCGACTATGCATCGACTATAGGGAGTTAAACCAAGTCACAATAAAGAACAAATATCCCCTCCCTCGAATCGATGACTTATTCGACCAACTCAAAGGAGCGGGCGTGTTTTCAAAAATTGACTTGAGGTCCAGGTATCATCAAGTGAAGGTAGCCAACCAGGACATCCCAAAATGGCTTTCCAAACCCGGTACGACTACTATGAATTCACCGTAATGCCCTTCGGGTTGACCAACGCTCCAACTGTGTTCATGGACCTCATGAATTGCGTGTTTCGCACCTATTTAGATGATTTCGTGATTGTGTTCATTGGCGATATCTTGGTCTACTCTCGGAATCATGAAGAACACGAGAAACACCTCTGAACAGTGCTGCAAACGCTAAGGGAGAAATAATTGTATGCTAAACTCTCCAAGTGTGAATTCTGGAAAGACAGTGTGGCATTCTTAGGCCACATAGTGACCAAGAAAGGAATCATGGTGAATCCGGCAAAGATCTAGGTAGTGAAAGGTTGGCCAACTCTAACGACAACTACGGAAGTTAGAAGCTTCCTCGGGCTGGCCGGGTACTATCACAGGTTTGTGCCTGACTTCGCAAAAGTAGCCCAGCCCATGATGAGTGTAACACCCCAGATTTTCAAGATATTTAAAGCTTATAAAATAAAGGTGAAATCTCATTAAGTCCCAATCAGAGTACGAGAGTACGGGGTGCTATGCCACACCTGAGCTAGAGAACTCAGGTGCACAGGCTAACTAACTAATGTCCCAATAATATAAATGCATAAACATGGCACGCAGGCCGAAAGGGAAACTAACTACTTCTACGCTCCAAGCTCTAGCGCACTCCAGTGACCTATTCTTCTGTGCCTGAAAGCCAAATATATCTGTTCAGCGAGAGATGCTGGTAACCCACTCCAACGCGTTGAAATACAATACATATAGATATATATACATAGATATACGAAAAGTCATTTCGAAGCATGAGGATATATCCTAAGAGACTCTAGCTTTCAAATCAGGGAACCGACTCGACAGATAGGGGTACACACAATCAACAGTCATAATCAAGTATATACAATTCTCGACATAGGCCACAGTTATAAATAAACACAACCAATAATCACAATTAAACATGTATAGTTTACTAGCAAGAATCCTATGGTCACGTTTCCCTAACAGTCACAACATCAATCCTTCCTATCTCATCATATAGCACACTTTGTTGGCGCCACGGGACCAATCGCATGCCCATACATGAGGGTCAGCGCATATAGCTCTGACACGGCCCCGCAGCACCCTGCCCCGTCTCACATTACGGAGGAGTCGATCGCAACCGACTGATGAACTGCAGTTCTATATAATATTTATATACCTGACCGGTCTTTACCAGCCTGGTTAACAGTTGGGATGGTTCTCAGCCCATTCAATTGCCCGTATAGTGGACCTTTGTCCTATATAATATTTATATACCTGACCGGTCTTTACCAGCCTGGTTAACAGCCGGTATGGTTCTCAGCCCATCCGACTGCCCGTATAGTGGAACTTAGTCCTATATAATATTTATATACCTGACCGGTCTTTACCAGCCTGGTTAACAACCGGTATGGTTCTCAGCCCATCCGACTGCCCGTATAGCCCGACTGATCTCAACCAAATCGGGGTAACATGCACACATAACACTTAGCAAGCACATGCAGCCCATATTAGCACATTGGGAAGGGGGGAAAACGTATAACGAAACCTATGCGTGGTCATCCACAACTAGGAATACTCCTAAGGGGTTCATACTTCTTATACCTGGGTCAACGGGATACCAATTCAACTAGCATGCAATATATAAGACTCATACAACCTACGAACGGTACCCGAAACATCAAACTAGACATAGGCACGATAGACGGAGTCCGTTGGGACACCACGAGGGTCGGGGAAACATCAAACGGGGAAGCCGGGGTCCCAAGTGTGGGAATTTCCAGCGGGTAGCCGGTGGGTGGGGGTTCACCCGCCGGCTGCCCGCCGACGTTACTGTTCCGGGCAGCGGGTGCCCGGCGGGCAGCTGCCCGCCCGCCGGCTGCCCGCTGCCAGAACTGCCCCCTTTTGACCGCGGGTAGGTGGCGGGTCCCCTACCCCCACCTACCCCCCACTGACTCATTAACACCAAAAACGCCCTGGGAACCTTTGTGGAACCCGAGACCATGCTCAGACACTTTCAAACGCTATTGATAACACACGTAGACAATTAACGGATCAAAATTAAGAAGCAAATGGCACATAACCTAACATGCTTTTCTAATCATAATAAACACCCAATCATGCAAAATCCCACCCATTATATACCAAGAATAACACCATACGAATTCCATGATATAACCTAGGGTTCTAATTATTTTTAAACCAACAAGAACACAATTCATCTTCCAAAATCAAGATTCGGTAGGAATATCATATAACTACCAAGAACCTCATATAATCATTAGGAACATCAAGAGCACCATGTAATTATCAAGATCGTCATTTAATCATCAAGAATGCCATAATTATCAAGAACTCATCATCGTCAAGATCATCAAGAATAACCATGGAATCATAACACCAATATAACGAATCATCAACATACAATAATATGGGGGATCCTAAGGGGGAATCATAACTA